GACTCTTGACCATCCTGACCAGTCGTCTCTCAGCAGCAGCTGCTAGTTTGTGTTTCCTTCCTGATGGTGGCAGTAACACAACTGGACCATGAACTTTATGGTGTTTTGTGTCTCATCTTGGTTACTTTTATCAGTTTTAGGTCACTTTGTGATCATTTCGTGCCTCATTATGGTCATTTTTTCTCATGCTGTGGTCCCTTCGTGTCCTTTATGGTAGTTTTTGGCATGTTGTGGTTGTTTCTTTGTGTCATGAGCAGACATCAGATCCAGGCTGTAGCTGGAACTGATTTCATGCACTGACAGAATTTTTTCCTCACATTCAGCGGTACATCCTCGCTGACAGATTCCTGCCTTATATTTTATTGTCCACTGATATTGTTGAGGTGAAAAGAGTCTAATTAACAAACTGAGCAGCTCTTTCTGTCCCTGCAGTGACTCAGCGGTCTTTCAGCTGCTGCTTTCAAACCTCCACTGTAAAGATTTTTTATCTCAGCTGCCTCTCAGAGCTTCTTTCTTTCTGTCGCCTCCTCTGACTGCAGATCGACCCCGGTTCTGTGATACTGTTTGCATAAGAAAAAGATCTGGTTCTTGCTAGATATCTGCTTTTGTATTCACTTTTACTTTGCCGTTCTGTGATAATTGATGCGTGAATGGATTTCTGATCGGGTCAACCAGTCACAGACCTGTTTCACCTGCAAAATACTGTGAAAGAAGCAAGAAGTGAACATAAATGCACAGAAAACAGCCAAAAATGAGACAGAAATGGATTAAAAATTATTATAAAGTTACACAAAACCACCACGACATGAAAAAATACAACAAAGACATAGAAAGCAACAACGCAGAGACACAAAATGACCCCAAAAAATTAACGAAATAGGCCACAAAACAAAATGATCTCGAAATTCCTGCAATAAGACACAAAATAAATTCAAAGGCACACAAAATGACCACAAAAATTTAAAAAAAAAAAACAACAACAAAGAGACACAAAATGATCAGAAAGAGACACAAAATGACCACAAAGAGACGCAAAATGACCACAAAGAGATGAAAAATGACCACAAAGACACACAAAATGACCACAAAGAGACGCAAAATGACCACAAAGACACACAAAGTGACCACAAAGGGACACAAAATGATCAAATGGAGACACAAAATGACCACAAAGAGATGAAAAATGACCACAAGGAAACACAAAACCACAAAATCACCTGAAAATTCCCACAAAAAGACATAAAACACCTTCCAAAAGAACACAAAATGACCACAAAGACGTACACAATGAACAAAACTGGACACAGTAGGACCACAAAGTGACAAACCAAATCCATAACGATGCAACCGACGTCGCAGCTGTGCGGTTTGTGGGAATCCTTCAGTCATCACATAAACTTATCTGCTGCTTTAATCAGGATTTCCTCGTTAGAAAACTTTCAGAGTGGAATCATTTAAATGCTCTTTTCTGACTGTGTTTCGGGGAAACGTCTTCGTTTCTGCAGCGACACCAGAAAAGTAGAATTTGACTCTTTGTTTGTCGTATGAAGCAGGAGTGTTGGCGTCTAATGAAGTGATGCAACAACCTGAAATGTTTGGAAATCTGTTGCTAAAGACACAAAAAGTTCAGGAGAAAAGTCACAAAGACCGATTAAATCCATGAAGTCAGTGGAGCTCCTGAGGACAGGCGACATGAACGTGTTTCTAATCAGTCGAGTCTCAAAGTGACACGATGATGAGACATAAAAATAAATAGTACTGTATTTAATTCTTACTTTCTAACTTTCTGACATAAAGTCAAACGATTTCAGAAATCAGCACTTTGGCTTCTGACTGGTTTCAGCAGCTCCATCTTCTCCATCTTCAGCTCCATCTTCTCTACATCGGCTCTCCATTTGTTTTGGAAGTGATTTTAAGGTTTAACTGATCAGTTTTAAAGCTCAACGCTGTTGATGCCATGAGAGCAGGTTTTCAGATGTTCAAGTTTAAATCCAAAGATGCTTCAGCTGTGGAACAAACTGCCCGAGACTCACTGGTTTCTTCAAATCACTTCTACAAACCTGTTGTTACACTGTTTTTTCTGTGATGTCGTCTTTTTAATACTTGAAGATTTTATGGCTTTTGTTATTTATTTTGCATTTATTAATTTTGCCATTTTCTTTTTTGTATTTCTGCATCTTTTGTTTTCTTCTTTGTACTACTACAAATTATAAAAGGAAGAAACAGAAGAAGAACATAAATCATTAATATATGTGCATTAAATATATAATAATTCTTATTCTTATTCTTATTCTTATTATTATATAAGCAAAAAATTAACTGCATAAAAATATAAAAACTACAATATAAATATGTGTAAAATGCCTGTAAAAGTTATTTATGTATCATCTTTGTATTCCACTTATTTATTTTTCTATTGTATTTTTAAGCTGTATAATTTTACACAATATAATTTAATATTGTGTATTTTTAAATAGTATGTTTTTAAATTGTACATGTTTTTATTGTATGATTTATGCTTTTGTTTATGGAAAATGTCCCCAAAAAAGTACATCGCTGTTATTACATCTGTGTTTATAATATTTTTTACCTTTTTCCAAAAAAAGCATTTTCTTGTGTTTTTATTCAGATTTTGTTTATTTTAATTGTGGAAAAAATTCATTATGAGCCGGATGTGGAAATAAACCAGAAACATTTGCCTGCCAGTTGAAAACCAAAACAAACCTCAGTCTTGTTTGTTTGTTGTCATTTGTTTTACTTGAAAAACACTTTTAAATTTTTGTATTAATGTATCCGGTAGTTTAATTTTCAAATCTTTTTATTTCCTGTCCTTATGTATCCACAACATACTTATATTTGCATTAAAAATGTAGACTGTATATTTTTAAACACCATATTTGTGTTTGTATTTCTTTAAATTGTGTAATTTTAAAACTGCGTTGTTTTGAATCGTGTGTGTTCATGTTGTCTATTTTTAAATAGTTTATTTTTGTTATTGTCTATTTTTAAATTGTATGTTTTTGAATTCGTTGCATTCTGTGTATGATGACAATAAAAAAGCATTCTGTTCTACATTTTTAAAAAACAATATCGCGAGCAGAATGCGGAAGTAAACCGGAAACACGTGTCTGTGACGCCGTGAGTGGAGAACCAAAACAAACCTCCGTGTTGTTTGTTTGTCTTCGTCTGTTCCGCTTTTAAAACACATTAAACCGTTTTTAAAACGTCTTAATCTCCCCGCCTCGTCTCCTCTCGGCGGCTTCATGGTGAGACTTCCCTCATTCCGACGTGACGCAGTGAAAACAGCCGTTTGTAGCGATGCTGTCTGGCGCTAATGTTGCTAATGCTAACGCTAGCTAGCTGGGCTCACGTCCAGCGGTGTTGCTCAACGCTCAGCTGAACAGTGAAGCGAAGTTCGTGGCTCTGAACAGCCGCCGTGTGTTTGTGTCGTTTGTCCCAGGTGGTCCTCTGAAGGTGCAGCGGAAGTTTTACCGGTAAAACCTCGGTAACGGCTCGGTAGCTGCTCGGCTAGCAGGCTAGCAGGTTAGCAGCCATGGCTCAGCAGAGGGGAGTCAACAGCCTGCAGTTCAACCAGGACCAGAGTAAGAGCTTCATGTTCCATCTGCATCTGTCAAAACACAGAAATAAACACAGAAAACAGAGGAACAGAACACAATAACCTGAGCCAGAGTTAAACTGAGGTTTCAGACTAATATTAAACTTAAAGTAAAAACGGGCTTCAGCTTTTATTTCCTCATGTTTACATATAAACAGTGTCTGATCCTTATATCCACTTATATTTATGTATTCAGCACTTTCAGTAAATGTTGTTTCTGACCTGCTGTGAACAAGTCAGAGGTCTGAGTTCAGGAAACTTCGTGTTTGATCAGCTGCTCATTTCATGTGTTTGTGGTTTTGTTTCCTTTTCTGGTCATTTTTTGTTTGTTTGTTGTCGTATTATGTCTTTTTTACATTATTTTGTCTATTTTGTTGTGATTTTATATATTTTTTGGGCATAATTTTGTGTCTCTGTGGTCATTTTTATGATCTTTTTTGTTTTGTTTTTTTATTTTGTGTTTTTCTTCATCGTTTTGTGTCACTTTGTTGTTATTTTGTGTTTTTTTTCCCCAATTATTCTGTGTCTCTTAGTTGTAATTTTATGTCTTGTTGTGATTCTTTTTCAGCTGTTTTTTGTCATTTTTGCATCTCTTTGTAATTGTTTTGTCTCTCCGTGTCGTTGTATGTCTTTGTGGTCATTGTGTGTCACTTTGTTGTTGTTATTTTCTCTGTGTGGTCACTTCCTGTCTCTGTGTGGTCACTTCCTGTGTCTGTGTGGTCTCTGTACGTTCTACAGTAACGTATAAATTAACTCCAGACACGTTAACAGCAGGTCTTTCCACCCCGGCAGGTTGTTTCTGCTGTGCGATGGAGACAGGAGTCCGGATCTACAACGTGGAGCCGCTGATGGAGAAAGGCCACCTGGGTGAGTCCAGACCGTCGTGTTTCACCTGCTGCACGACTCGGTAACACAGTCTGGTGTTCAGACATTTACCTGTAACCTGTTGTCAGGCTGTCGGTCTGGTTGTTGTTGAACGTCTGTGAACATCGAGAGGGGAAGTTTGGCACAAATGTCGACTTTAACTCGACGGTGATTTGGTCAAAAACGCTGTTCTTGTTTTGTTTTTATTAATCAGACGTAGAGTTTCTCATCCTGTGATCAGACTGAGTAAAATAATATCAGTAATAACAGAATAAAACTGAACGCTCGGTTCACAGAAGACTCCTGAAGTGGATCAACAACGTCATCAGAATCGGTATTATTCAGCAAATAGGTGAACAAAAACAAGAGACACAGAACCAGCGGACCTTCAGGCTGGGCCTTCAGTACTTTCTGTTGTCCGGTTATTCGACCCAATTAATGACGACCATTTGGCTACTAAGACCAGTTCAGGTGTTTGTATCCGCCGCCAGTGTCGGCGACGGCGGAGAATATACGGAGATCAAAGTTGTTTTCCTGATACCAGCACAGGAAACGAATAGTGGGCTGGTCGGGTCCAGCCCGAGTGGACCCACACAGAACAAGAAGGTTTAACAAAGTCAAGTTCAATCAATCTCATTTATCTGTCTGTGTTTTACATGTTGTGTCTCTTTATTGTCGTTTTTAGTCTCTTTGCAGTTATTTTTTATCTATTTGTGGTCATTTTATGTCTTTTTATTGGGTTTTTTTTGTCTATTTTTGGTTGTTTGTGTGTCTTTTTGTCATTTTCAGTCTCTTTTGTTGTTATTTTCTAACTCATAACTTTGCCTTGAGGATCTGTGCAGCAGATATATATATATAATCTATAATTTATAATCTAAACGTCAGTATGGTGATAAATTCCGTTTCACTAAAACTCTTTTATAACGTCCTCCTCAGTCTGTTTCAGTTCACCAGCCTGACCTGGACTGTTTTAACTGATCCTGTCTGAGCGCTTCCTGTGTGTCTCTGATCCTGTCTTTGTGTGTTTGTGTTTGTGTGTGTGTGTGTTTGTGTTTGTTTGTGTGTGTTTGTGTTGCGTTTCAGACCACGAGCAGGTGGGGAGCGTCGCCCAGTGCTCCATGCTGCACCGCTCCAACCTGCTGGCCGTCGTCGGGGGCGGAGTCAATCCCAAGTTCTCCGAAATATCCGGTGAGTCCATCGAACAAACCTCAGAACCAGAGAAGAACCGAGAACAGGATGGAGTAGGAGAAGACAAGTCGTACATTTAGTTCACAGACGTCCTGAATATTTAGTTTGTTGGTGTTCAGGAACCATCGGTCTGTGTCTCCTTGTCATCGTCTTTTATCTCTTCCTGGTTTTGGGTGTTTGTGGTCGTTTTGTGTCATTTTATTGTTTTTTTCATTTCTTTTTGGTCGTTTTGCTTCTTTGTGGTTGTGTTGTGTCTCTTTTATTTTCTGTGTTCATTTTCTGTTTCGTGGTCCTTTTGCATCCCTTTTTGTTATTTTCAAGTCTCTCTGTGGTCTTTTTTACGTCACTTTATTGTTGTTTTTAGTCTCTTTGCATCTCTTTGTGGTCATTTTTTGCCTCTTTGTCAAACTTTATCGTCTCGTTGTTGTAGTTTTTCTGTCTCTTTGTGTCTGTTTTTCGTTCATCTCTGTTTTTTTTCTTCCTGTTTCTGTGGTTGTTTCTCGTCTTGTGCGTCTGTTCCGACCCGTTTTATGCATCACGGTTCCTCTGTTCTGTTCCAGTGCTGGTTTGGGACGACGCCCGAGAGTCCCGTGACCCCAAAGACAAGCTGGTTCTGGAGTTCACCTTCACCAAACCCGTCCTGGCCGTTCGCATGAGACACGACAAGTGAGTTACCGTCACCGCAGAGTGTCTGTAGCCAATAAGTAATCAATAAGTCATCTCTATGGACTCTGTGTGACTCCATAGTCAACAGATAATCAATAGATCACCTGTGTTGACCCTCCAGGATCATCATCGTCCTGAAGAACAGGATCTACGTCTACAGTTTCCCCGACAACCCCGTGAAGCTGTTTGAGTTCGACACCAGAGACAATCCTAAAGGTAGAGTCCTGGTCGTCTGCTGGAGGTCGTGTTGTGTCTCTGTGGTGTCTTTGTAGGTCTTTTTGCTTTTGTTCACCTTTATTTTAATAGTTTGTGGTCATTTTGCGCCATTCTATGGTGATTTTGTGTCTCATTGTGGTCGTTTTCAATCTTTTGTGGCTGCTTTGCCTCTTGTTTTGGTGATTTGTGTCTTTCTTGTCATATTGCATCAGTTTGTCGTCATTTTTTATCTTTTGTGGTCATTTTGTGTCCTTTTGTTGTCTTTGTAGGTCTTTTTTGGGGTCATTTTTCATCTTTTTGTCGTGATTTTTGTGTCTTTGTTGTGTTTTTTAGGTCTTATTTGGTCATTTTGCTTCCATTTGCATTCATTTTTCATCTTTTGTGATCATTTTGTGCCTTTTTGTCACATTTCATCTCTTTGTGGTGATGTTTTTCATCTTTTGTGGCCATTTTGCACTACTTTTGGTGATGTGTGTCTTTTTTGTCATATTGAATTAGTTTTTGGTCATTTTACATCTGTTTGTGGTGATTGTGTGTCTGTTTGTAGTCATTTTTTATCTTTTGTGGTTGTTTTGCATCTTTTTGTGGTCATTTTGCATCTGTCTGTCGTCAATTTTAGTATTTCGTGATTGTTTTGTGTTTCTTTGTGGTCCTTTTTTAATCTTTTGTGGCAGTTTTGCAAGATTTTGTGGTGATATTGTGTCTTTATGGTCATTTTTGCATCTCTTTGTGGTTATTTTTTCATCTTTTGTGGCCATTTTGCACTGCTTTTGGTGATGTGTGTCTTTTTTGTCATATTGAATTAGTTTTTGGTCATTTAGCATCTGTTTTTGATCATATTGTGTCTTTGTGATCATTTTGTGTGTCTTTGTGTCCTCCTCTTGCTGCTGCAGGTTCTGAAGTCTTTCCCTGACTCTTGTCTTGCAGGTCTGTGTGACTTGTGTCCCAGTCTGGAGAAGCAGCTGCTGGTGTTTCCGGGTCATAAGTGTGGAAGCCTTCAGCTGGTCGTGAGTCCGCCTCAGAACAAACGTCCGGAACAAATGTCCAGGTAGCGACGGCCGTGCAGTAACTTGTGTCTCCGTGTCCAGGATCTGTCCAACACCAAACCCGGCACGTCGTCGGCGCCGTTCACCATCAACGCCCACCAGAGCGAGATCGCCTGCGTGGCGCTGAACCAGCCGGGCAGCGTGGCGGCGTCGGCGTCCCGCAAAGGGACCCTGATCCGCCTGTTTGACACCACGACCCGGGACAAGCTGGTGGAGCTGCGCAGAGGAACCGACCCGGCGACGCTCTACTGGTACCAGAACATCAGAACCACAGACACACCAGATCTGAGACGTCTTTATCTGCAGTCACTTTAGCTCATTTAACCGACTGCTTCCATCGTTTCTGTCTGACGTATAGAAACGTTGCCTGGAGCAGCTCTTAGTCTGAAAACTACATTCAGTCTTTGACTGGAAATGAAAAAACAGTTTCACATAAAAACAGGAAAAGACGACTCAGAACATAAAGTCTAAAGTCAGTCTGAATCCAAAGAAAACACCTTTCTGTGTTTGAAAATGTAAAATTCAATCAGTAACGGAGACAATGAGGTAGAAAACAGAAAAAATATACCAAAATATTGTTTATTTGTGGAGAACTTTTAACTCTTTCTGCTCCAAAGGGCTTCACAAGGCAGCAAAATGCATAAAAACAGAATTCAGTGGATAAAAACTAATAATTTAATAACAGAAAATTAAAAAGAAATAACCTGCAGCTCCTTTAATACTTCTAACGTTATATATTTTCAGATAATAATACATGAAAAACTGTTTACATGATGTAAAGTTTATTTAAATAATACAACAGAGAGTAGTTTAAGTCACAGTTGTCCACAGAGTGAATGAAATAAAGCAATTTTTGAGTTTTTTGCACAATAACACAAAGCAGCAGGACGACAGAAGCAAGTTGTGCAGCTGAGATTAAAAAAAGAAGAAATCCTACCTGAAAATAAAATATATGAACAAATACAAAAGTCAAGAATCAACAAAAATAATTATACAATTTATAAAAACTGCATTTTTAGTCAAACATCTTTTCAGCCTCATTTATCAGCCGTTTGTGCTGCAGAATTTACAGAAATCACGACTTTATTCTCACTTTAATGCAGTAAGAATTTGTTGCGATCAAGCTGAAACAAGTAAGAAGTCTTGTGTTTTAGAAGTTCTGTGAGTGAGTTAAACTGAACCAAACAGCATCAGAACCTCCGAGTGTTCTGTTCGTTGCAGCATCAACTTCAGCCACGACTCGTCCTTCCTCTGCGCCTCCAGCGATAAAGGAACCGTCCACATCTTCGCCCTCAAGGACACCAAGCTGAACCGGCGCTCGGCGTAAGAACCCCGTCCGTCTTGTTGTGTCGTCCTGTAACCCCCGGTAGGTTCTGACCCGTGTGTTTGCTGCCCCCAGGCTGGCCCGGGTGGGGAAGGTGGGCCCGGTGATCGGCCAGTACGTGGACAGCCAGTGGTCTCTGGCCAGCTTCACCGTCCCGGCCGAGTGCGCCTGCATCTGCGCCTTCGGAAAGAACACGTCCAAGAACGTCAACTCCGTCATCGGTGAGCAAAACAGAGCGAATGTCACGCATCCAGGAGAGGAAGTTGAATGAATGAATGCCCTTTATTGTCATCATACCGTGTGCAATGAGAGTGAGTTCTGGTGCCTGATGTTGCTCAGAAAATAACTGAAAGGCACAATGTGACGTTCTTGACGACTTACTAAACTATGACGTTTTTATGACATTTTTGACGACATACTAAACTATGACGTTTCTACGACATTTTTAACGACATACTAAACTATGGCGTTTTTACGACATTGTTGACGACATACTAAACTATGACGATTTTATAACGTTTTTGACGACATACTAAACTATGACGTTTCTACGACATTTTTAACGACATACTAAACTATGACGTTTTTACGACATTTTTGACGACTTACTAAACTATGACGATTTTACGACATTTTTGACGACATACTAAACTATGACGTTTCTACGACATTTTTGACGACATACTAAACTATGACGTTTTCACGACATTTTTGACGACTTACTAAACTATGACGATTTTACGACATTTTTGACGACATACTA